TGTTTTTTAAGGGGAGGATCTCATATGCGAAACCCATCCTGTCCTGGCTGACCCAGGATCAGCACTACGGTGAAGGTTTCTACTCTGTGCAGGTAAATACACCCCAAACTCGGCCTGGCACCTAAAACCCCTCTCTGTTAACCTCTTTTGCGCTTCTTGTTGACCTTTGACCTCCCTCAGGACACCTTCTTGACTCTGGAGACATTAACGGAGTACAGCAGAGTTGTCTCTCGAGCCGCCCTCAGTCAGGACATTAGCATCCGCTACAGAACAAAAGGAATTCTGGGACAAATCCAGCTGAGCCAGAGTCGACCCGTGGCCTCACCCTTCCAGGTGAGAACGGCTCAGTCCAGCGAGGTCAGGTGCAGCTCCAGGTCAACAGTAACCTTTTTGTTTTCCTTCCCAGGTAACAAAGAATGATGACATCACTGTGTCCACAGGTTATGGTCGCGGCGTGTCCAATGTGAAGGTGGGTGTGGGTTAATTCACCTGAAGCCATGTGGGCAAAATCGGCTCTAACGTTCCCCGATCTGTCTGCAGATGAAGACGGTGTACTATCAGACCGTGGCGTCCGCACAGGCCACGTGTAACTTTGACCTCACGATTGAGGTGGTCATGCCTGAAACCAGTGAGTATCTCACCTGGATGTACAGGTGTATGTGAAAGATCACAGCCACAGCAGACTTTCAAACTCCACAAACAGATTTCACACCACACTCAAAACATGAGATGAAGATGGTAGCTGTTTTGGTTAGTGCGAACAAACTGCTTCCAATTTTACAGTTGGTCCATCACAGGTCACCAGGTCTCTCAATTCCTGTTGTTCTTCTCCAAGATCGTATCCATAAACACAGTCTTACTCACAGCCCTGCCCATCGTCTAGCATGTCGGACAGCCTTGTGGGATTTTCAACAGCTGTAGCTGCTTCTTGTACTTCGATAAGCCGGCTCCAATCAGCCAGAACTCTGTTATCGTGGTTCCGAATTGGTCGATGTCGTTCAATGTCCTCCATCGAGAGTGTCCCCAGACACATGACGCAACTGACCATCGAGTATCCGGCAGCAAACGTCTCCGCAGGACAGTCGGGCTCTCCCAAGCCCAGGAGGGTGTCAGTTTCGTCAAGGGACGAGTTGATCAAATCCATAATTCTTCTTTATGTTTTTAGAGAACAAGTCTGGGAGACCGTCTGAGGGTTAGAGAATAAGCGAGACTATACAAAAGACATGAGAAGCCAAGCAGGGAAGATGAGGGTGAAGGAGAAAGTGCGACCGCCTCCCTCAAGAGCCAAGAGTTTTTCGTCTTTTAAACCAAACTTTGAACATTAAACTCTTTCGCGCGTCCTCCTTCTTTGTCTTCATGCTCAATCATCCAGGTAAGTAAATCCCAAAAGGTTGATTCTGTTCATTGATTTTACACTTCCTGTCTCACTACAGTGAGGTTTATTCATTTATTTTCTATTCTGTACTTCTGTTTTGAACAGAGACAGTGCTCCAGCTGTTTACCTGCAGCAGCAGCTGCCTGTCACCAGATTAAATGTCTTCTTTCTCCTCCTCAGATCCAAGATTACGAACTCCTACCCTGGTGGCCTGTGTAAAGTAAGAGCACTGCATGATTGTCTTTCTCGCTCACTGAAACGCTGCATGCATGAAGGCTAACTCACAGCATGGTCCCTGCTGCAAAAGCGGTCACACATGTAACTACAGAGGGTGACGTCACTGGGTTGGTTGTGGTTAACACACTTTCAGTAGTTTATGTTACCTAACCTAACTAGTGACAGAATCCATAGCTCAGAGGAAAATAAGGACACTCAAACTAAAAATCTGTCAAGAAGCGCTGCGTGGCAGGTACTCCATCTCGAGGGATGAACTCAAAATCACAGCTTTATTTGCTGGCACGGGAAAACGAGCATACAAAGCAAACTAAACTAAACTAAACTAAACTAAACTAAACTAAACTAAACTAAACTAAACTAAACTAAACTAAACTAAACTAAACTCACAGGGAAACACAGAGCGAGCCACACAGCACGAGGGCCGACGCGACACTGACACAGAGCAGTGTTGGGGAGTAACGGAATACATGTGCCGCCGTTACGTATTTAGAATACAAAATATGAGTAACTGTATTCCGTTACAGTTACCGTTTAAAAAGGTGGTATTCAGAATACAGTTACTTTGTTGAAATAAATGGAATACACTGCG